GCCAACCACCTAGTTGGCTCAGGCAACTGGGCTTGTGCCAGACTTGCTGAGCTCAAGGGCACTGCTTCTGCCCAGGCCCTTACACTAGCTCTGTTGCCCCCAGGTCCAGCTCCTCTGAGTCCCTTTTCCCAGGGCATGGGGAGCACAGGGCCTTTTCATCACTCCCCTCCCACTCCAGTTCTTGTCACCTCCTCTCCAGCAACAGCACTCATCCTTCCTCCTGCTTTCTTCCGTTTTCACACAGCTGCCTACGTGCTGTGTTAAAATGTAAACCTGACCATATTACTTCTCTGCTCAAAACCTTCCTGTGGGTCCCCCTGAGAAAAAGCCACCAAGGCCCATGAGGCCCAGCTCTGGCCCTGTCTCCACCTTCCAGGCTCCTGCTCACTGCCCGCAGGCCACTGGTCTCCAGGCTGTTCCCCCAGCCCTCACTGGGCCCTGGTGAAACGTCACCTCCTCAGTGAGGCCTCCCCTGATTGCCTTTTCAAAAGGCCTTTGTCCCCCATCATTCTTAATCCTTTTACTCTAACTTCAGAACCCTTATCAACCTCTGACAGACACTGATTTTGTGTGTGTTCCTCCTGGGCTCCATGGGAACAGGGATATTTGCCATCTTGCTCATGGCTGTGTTCCCAGCACCTGGTGCATAGTAGGCAGTCAGTAAATATTTGTTCAATGAATGCCTCAAGCCTTTTTCATCTTTGTGCCACAGTTTCCTCCCCTGAAAAATGGAGGGTCAGGCCAGTTATGGGGCTTACATGCGGACTAGAGTGATGGCCAGGACGCACTGGGGGTTGTCCGACCTGACCAACAAGCAGGCCCCTCCAGTCCAAGGGCTGAGAGAGCCAAAGGAGGCTAGCAAGTCAACAGGTGGGTACGAAGACCCCTCGCAGAAACATTTGGATTTATTCCTAGCTAGAAGGGAAGCCCCGGCAGGGCCGGGACACAGCTGTGGGAAGAGGGGAAGAGAAGCTGGCTTGAAGGGAGCCCTGGGGCTGGGGAGATAGGGCTATGTGGTCCCTTAATGGAGCCCCAGAAAGCCAGCTGTCAGGCAGTGGGAGCTATTGCAGAGCAGGGGACACAGGGATGGGGGTGTTTAGGGAGCTGAGTCTGGTCCATTGTGTGCAGAACACGCTGTTCCCCTCCAACTAGAAGTTCCTGAGCCAGAGGGGTTCAGTCCTACATGGCTCCAGGGTCTCCAGGCTGTTCCCCAGCCCTCACTGGGCCCTGGTGAAATGTCACCCCCCATGTAGGACTGAACCCTCTGGCTCAGGAACTAGTTGGAGGGGAATAGGGAGTCTGAGGCCCAGGGAGGCTCTGGGTTCTAGGGGACAACAGCTCCAATGGGAGCAGAAGCTAGAGAAATGAGGTGAGAGGGCTGTGGGCCTGAAGGAATAGATCTACCAGGCTTTTCCTCCTCTCCCTCCTCCTCCTATCAGCTACTTTCTTCTCCAGAAAAGCCTTTTCATCATTCATTTATTCATTCATTCACTCATTGATTCATTCAACAACTCGGAGGAGCCTCCTGGGGTGCAGTGGTGAGCTCCACAGATGTAGGGAATGCAGGTCCTTTTGCATCATATAGAGCAGGGCTCAGGATGCATGGTGAGGGGCAGATGCTGCCGGTAATGGTGCTGATAGTGGTGGTGGTGATGGTAATTATGGTAGGGAAGGTGATGATGATGATGGTAACTGTGATGATGGCGATGATAGTGCTGTTGATGGTAATGGTGCTGGTGGTGGTGGTGGTAGTGATGATGATGGTGATGATAGTGTTGTTGATGGTAATGGTGCTGGTGGTGGTGGTGGTAGTGATGATGATGGTGAAGGTGATAATGGTGTTTATGGCAGTGGTGGTGACAGTGGTGGTCCTTGTGATGGTGATGAGAGTTGTGGTGATGGTGTGTCAGTTCCCATTTATTGAGCGCTCACTAGGTGCTGGGCCAGCTCTAAGTGCTTCGGATGTGTTTGCACAACGGGCTCCTGCAACAACCTGTGAATCACGGAGGTCTTAAGCAACTTGCCCGAGGCCCCCTGTGAGCAAAGGGCGGCACCGGAAGTGAGCCCCGGCTTGCTGACTGGCCAGCAGCTGCTCCCAACGATGGCCACCTGCCCCTTCAGCTGTAGCTCCCTCCCTAAGGTCCCTTCCTTGCCTCCTGGACCCAGCACAGGGCCGTGCAGGGGCAAGTGCATGTGCATGTCTGACTTGCCTGAGCAGGGTTTGTGGTCTGGCATTGCCCCGGCAAGCTTGCGCGATTGGTGCCCTCACTCCTCTGCCCTCAGCACCTCGTCCGTGACAGGGATGAGCGGTCCTCCAGGGAGGCCACCAGGAAGGCAAGGAACCATCACCACAACCATCACCCACACTATGGCAGGTGGTGTTTCCAGGGGGAGAGCCCGTTTTCTAAATCAGGAGGCAAGAAAGAAAAGAAGGTTCTATTCTGAGCCCTGCCTCTGGAATCTGGGATGAGAATGGGGCAGGGTCCCCTAGATGGGCATGCTGTACGCACACACCCTGGCTGCTTCCCTTACACAGGCCTGGGGAGGGGGCTCTTCTCCCACCCACCGCTGACTCCCATGCCTCTGGGGACTGGGGGGAGGCAGTGTCCAGGCCCTTGCACCCCGAGTTCTAGTAAAACCCAAGCATATCCCATGCCAGTGATGGGAGGGAACAGAAGGTAGGGGTTGGGAGCAGAAGGACTGAGCATAAATGTTCCTTCTGGGCTCCCTGTGTGCCTGGGGCCCCCCCACTTTCCCTCTATGGGCTTCAGCATTATTCAGTTTTAAGGTACAGGGTTGGGCAAAACTAGGTTTACAGTTGTGAGTACACAAAACACAGAGTTTATTCTTGTATTTTAATTTATTTGTTTATTTTTGGTTAATCCTCACCCGAGGATATTTTTCTGTTGATTTTTAGAGAGAGTGGAAGGGAAAGGGAGAGACAGAGAGAAACATCATGTGAGAGAGACACATTGATTGGTTGCCGCCTGCACACACCCTGACCAGGGCCAGGGAACCTGCAGCCAAGGTGCGTGCCCTAGACCAGAATCGAACCTGGGACCCTTCAGTCCGCGGGCTGACGCTAGGGAGTATTATTATTTATTTAGTATGTATTATTTATTTGTTCTACAACTGGAAACCTACCTTTGCCCACCCCTCTATTGACGAAGTAGCAGCTCTGTGGAGACATAAATGAATCTCTGCCCTCGGAGAGCTGACAGTCCAATGAGGGCTGACACTACATAACAACCAAGGAAAGCACCCAGCTGGGCAGACGCTGCGGGAAAAGATGAAGCAGAGTGAGAGGAACCAGACGGTGCTGGGATGGGAGGTGCTGGAATTTTCCACGGGGTATCAGAGAGAAGGTGACATTGCCAACAAAGCCCCTAAGGAGGCCCAGGAGCAAGTTACGCAGGGGTTTGGTGGAAAAGCATTCCAGGCAGAAGGAACAGGAGGTGTAACACCCTGAGGCAGGAGCTTGTCTCATTGGGTTTGAGGAACAGCAAGGAGACCAGTATCCCCACCCCCTATATTTGGGAATCAAAAGACCACATTTTACCCCTGGAGATCTTACCCCCCAGGACAGAATTCTTTCTGAGCCCTCAGAGCCCATCCCAGTGGGAGCTGGTGATGCCAGCCTCCAGGCTGGGGCGGGGCTTGCTGCCTGCTTCTTCAGCCGGAGGGAGGGTTTTCAGAGTGTGGGGGCTTGGAAAAGAGAACGCCATCCTGACTCCTCACTCCAAGTGGCTGGCAACTCTGGGTTCCAATCCTGGGTCCAACCACTTTCCGGCTGGGTGACCTTTCGCGGATCATTCTCTGAGCCTCCGTGTCCTCACCTCCAGAAAGGGCACACAATGCCTATATATCAGGTGGTGGTGAGACTTGGGGGAAACACACCAGGAAATGTGTGTAAGTGCCCAGCCTTGTGCCTGCCTGTAGGAGGTGCTCAGTAAATGTTTAAAATTGGAACCTAACATTTGTATGGCTTTGAATTATTTTCATAACTGTTGGGAAATTATCACATCGCTTGAGTCTTCTAAGAACTCCAGGAGGAAGAGAGATCAGAAAATAATATATCCCGACTTACAGAGGGTAAACTGAGGCCTGGAGAAGATGAGTGATTTGCCCAAGGTCACAGTGAGGCAGGGCCAGTGGAGGGCTAAGATGTGGGTGTCCTGGCTCAGGGAACCCCGGGGATCCAGGGGAGTGGAGATGGTCCAGAGCCTGCCCTCCCTCACAGGCGCGCATGTACACATGCGCACACATCACCACGCAATAAGAGCGACTTTCAGATTTGTGGTTCCCAAGCAGGTTTTGTAAGGCATGGCTTGATGGGTCGGGAGGTCTGTTGTAAGGATGTTGAAAAGCTCAGAGGGTGGGGAAGCTCAGGCCACAGGCAGGCAGAGTCTGGGGCAGGTCCCTGAGAAGAGGAAGAGGCCTGGGCTCATGTGATTGTCCACACGGCCTGTTTGTTTATCCAGCGTCCGGCCTTGCGGGGCAGGTCGGTCTGGGTCCACAGACTGGTCTCCCAGCACCCGGCTCCTAGAGCCTGGTTGTCCAGATGACCGTCCCAAATAGCCTGGGAGCCTTGGGACAGCCCTGGGGGTGAGGGGCATTGCAAAAGAGGAAGCTGAGTTTCAGAGAGGGGCATGCCCAGCTGACGAGGGGGAGCCAGGGTTGGGACGTAGGCCTGCCTGACCTAGCCCCAGCACTGGCCATTCCTCCCACGGAGCTCATCATAACTCAGCCAGGTGCTGGCAGGCGGGCTTTGTGCACGAGGACCCCTTCCTCCCGTGGCCTACCTTCCTGGCCACAGTCTGGCCTCTTCACCCTGACAGAAGGCCCCGCCCACCGGTTCTGCTCCTGGGTTGCTGCAGCCTGAACCTTCATCTCATGGGGCTCAGGGCCACGGGATCTGGCCCTGCCCTGCATCCACCTGCCATGGGCACTTGGCTGGCCATCTGACCCCTTGGATTGAAAAGTCAGTGAGCCCAGCCTTATTCAGTGCCTTGAACATGCGAGACGGCCTTTCCCCAGTGTCCACATAACTCAGGGACTTCTAGGCCCATTTTCTAGATGAAAAAACTGAGGCCTAAAGAGGAAAGGTTATGTCCTGAAGCACACGGGACATGAGAGCAGAGCTGGATTCCAAAGCCCATGCTTTTCCCATCATATAGCTCCCTGCCCTCAGTTCCTTCCGCTGCAATATAGGAGGCTGGAGCTCAATTTAGGGCACAATGGAAACAGCACAAACCGGAGTGGGCTGAGTTCAGATCCTCGCGCCTTCACTCCTAGCAGGGTAGCCTTGGTAGTCACATCTCCCCGGGCCTCAGTTTGTGATCTGTAAATGGGGCTGAGAGCAATATCACCCCACGAGCTGCTGTGAGGCTCAGTGAGCAGCAGTGCAGAGCGCCCAGAAAACGATGGCCACATGCGTGGTCATTCGTGTCTGAGATCGCCGAGGTTCCTGTTCGCCCTTCCCTGTAGTGTTCGAGACGATGGCAGGGAACATACATGCTCATGTGTCCTTTTGCTCTTCCTGAGCGGTGGCCCAGTGACTCGGGCTGAGTGGGGACTGTGTGGATGTGTCCTGTGGACAGACAGCCGTCTAGGGCGCCTGTCGTGGTGGGCGGAGAGAGACAGATAGTTCTGTGATGGGGACAGGAGGCTGCACCGGGCAGCAAAGGGCGCCTTTGTCCTCCTGTGCAAATTAGCAATTACCTTTTCTGCTCCTGTAAGCTCGGCCTTTCCTGGGAGAATTATTCCAAAGCAGCCACTGAGCAGGCAGAGCCGCCTGGCTAATTAGCGGGCAGCCACCGGGGACAGGCTCAGGGCCTGGTGGCCAGAATTGGGGCTACAGCTGCCTGCCGCTGGTGCCAGCCCAGCTGGGAGACTAGGCAACGTCTTGGGCTCCAGGACACTGTGGCCTTTCAACCTTGGGGTTCAGATCCTCGCCAAGTCACTTGCTAGCTGTGGGACCTTGGGTAAGTCGCATTGTCTCCCTGGGCTCAGTTTCCTCATCTTTAACTTCAAGATTGCGTGGGTTTGGAGCCCGGCACCTAAATGGTGTCCATTATCAACAGGTAGTGTTACTATCACTGTTATTGTCACCACTGCCGCTGCCTGTGCTGGCTCAGGTGGGAGAGCACAAGAAATGCAAGCCCAGTGACAGCCCTGGGGGCCCTGTAGTGCCACCTCACCAGCACAGGCAGCAGAAGCCCTGTGAGGCCTCATGCCCGTAGGCAAGAGAGGGGCTTGATTTCTCTAAGTCCAGCCTTCCTTTTGCTCCTCTAAGGATGGAATAATCCAGCTTTTGTGTAGTTATGTGCCTAGAATAGGGCCTGACCTGGAGCGAGTGCTGATAAAGGTGGTGCCCCTGCTCCCCGCCTTCTCCTCCCTCTGCTGCCCCCTCTTTGTCCTCCATCCTTCCCCAGGCCTCAGGAACACACAGGAGGGAGGCAGCAGCAACTCCTGCAGGAAAAACAGATTGAAGAGCTACCTCGGCTTGGGGTGTTCAGGAAGAGGTTCCCGAGGAGGGAGGGTCTGGACTAGACTCAGCAGGACCTGGGGCGTAGGGGTGAGGCAGCTGCTGAGAAGCCTTGGAGGGGAGAGAGAGGAGAGAGAGAGAGGGAGGGAGAGAGAGAGAATATGAGGGAGGGGGGTCCTATGTGAGCAGAGGAGAGGAGCATGCATGGATAGTCTGCTCAGGAGCTGTGAGGTTATGAGGCTGGTGACCCAGGACAAAGACTGCAACCAGGCAGCTATGGCACGTTAAGGTGGAGCAGAAATTCAGGAGAGAGGGTCTGGATGCCAGGCCAG